TATAAACAGGAATGAGACTAAGACCCTGCCTCTTGGGAATTATATAGTCTAGAACTGCCTAATACCTCCTTTTGAAAATCAGATGCAAATAATTTAATTTACGTACTAGAAATCCCATTACTTTTGGCTTATGATTGTCTCCAATTCAATGATTGCTGATCACTCTTGATATCATTTGGGACAAACTAAATTCCTTGCAGAAGGAAGAGTAAGAATTTACTTGGAACTAAAGAATACTCATATTAAAATGGCATTTTAATGTAAAAAGGGAAATAGTTCTAAGATCCCAGGAAACACTTTTCTTACATCGGAATAATGACAAGAAACCAAGGGTAAAGTGGTCATATTAAAAGAATATCAGGTTATATCTACCTTTGTAGCCAGGTTTTAAAACTAGTGATTTTGCTACCACATCCTAGGTGGAAAGGCCAGAGAGTGTTTGAGTACCAGACTCCTAGATTTCTCCTAATATTTCTGTTTTAGTAAGACTCTTATTGGTTAGGATGTTTTTAGTTTCAAGAAATTTTAAGTGGCATAAACAAAAGGGAATTTATTGATGGATATAACTAAAAAGTCCACAGGCAATGACTTCGGGTAAGGCTTGATCTAGAAAATGCCCCCAAATGATGATTTTCTTTCTAGTTCTTATCTCTACTTCCTTGATAGTGGCTCCTTTCTAAGATATAGTGTTCACTTGGTGGTCCCTGGTGGCTTCTAGCATCTCCTAAGACTGCAGCTTCCCAGTTCAAGCACAGAGGAAAAATGAGAATCTGCTTCTTGATATCTCAAAAAAAAAGTTCTAGAGTAGAGTCTCTCTGATATTAATTGTCCAGATTTAACCATGTGTCTATTATAGAACTGGTATGTGCATGGTGTTGGTGGGGTGGGAGGGGGGTGTCAATATGCAGACTGGTGTTAGTTATTCCAACACAACTGCATGACTGGCTGGGAAGGGGGAACTAGGAATTGGGTGCTGAAGAGGGAACTAACATAATGTCTGCAGCAGCCACTAAATACTCTCTGGAAGCTAAGAACAGGAAGAACAGAAAGGCATTTCTTTATATTGTTCAAAGAAAGCCAGCCTGAGTATATTGCACCAGTGTTCACTTTTGAGTTTCTATCTTTCCCAACAGATCTGGCAATTCAGCAGCCTATTCTCCAAAATCAAGAGCTGGGAGTTTAATGAAGTCATCTCCATGTCTGAGCACTTGAAGTCCTGTCCTTTCAACGTTGTAGAGCATAAGACTGACCCAATTCTTTTGACCAGCATGTGTCAGCCCCATGAGCAAGCCCAAGAGAGCTTAGTCACCACCTTTAGAGTCAGTCCACGAAGAAGACACATCAACTAAAGATACGAACACCACCATTCTTGGATTCCCCGATAGAGTTACGAAAAGCAGGACAGAGTGTGGTTTTGAGGACTTCCCTCTATAAACTGCATATGTGCTTATCTGGGTGTATTGGAACATGCGATGTCCTTCAAAACCTGAGCAGTTGCACAAGGTCTAAGAAATTACTAAGCCCTGGCATGTACAATTGCTCTAATGCCATATTGATGATTTATTTCCTTTCCTTTCTTTTTCTAAAATAAATCAGTCTGAGGAGAAAATAGGTAACTTGAGGTCATTTGGAAGATGAACCCAAATCCATAGAAGATAAGAGAGCAATGAATTCCATAACCAGCATAGGCTTTTTAGTTTATAAGCATGTTTAAATTTGTGGGGCAGGAAATGCAGGGATGCAGATAGAGGTGCCTCCCCGGGTACCCACAGGGAAGGGCACTTAGTTTGAAGGTTCTGGAGCAGGAGTTGTCTTGACAGTTAAGTCCAGGGCTTTTTTTAGTTGCCCCATTGCCTCTAAGCTCAGATGATCCAAACACAGCCCAACAAAATAGAGACCTTGGCTGAGCGCAGCTGCCTCTGGGACACCACAAACCAAAGGACAAGAGGCAGAAATGAGGTCACAGAGTTTGTTGTATAGAATTTTGGCAACATATAGGACAACCTTGAAAAAATGAAGAAGGCTCCAAAGGAAACACTGTATTTATGGAGAAAATGAGGACAAAAGGCCTCACGCCTACATTTAAACATTTTAGCAATGACTTAAGAGTCAAGGTTCTTTTCTTCTGAAAATTATATTCTAGGTCAAGATTGGGGAGAGCATAGGTATAGCTCAGCACCAACTGGACTATCTGAAATGACCTCAAGACACTAACACCAACTTCAGTGCCATGCCAGAGTGCATAGAGTAGCCCAGAGACCACACATTTGGCAAAGTACAGACAAGGCCCACTTCAGGTGCTACTGCACCAATCACTAGCACCAGTCACTGGGTACCCCACTGGGGATATGGGAAGGAAGACATGTGAACATGTGGTTCCCTGTAATTGCTCCTACCTACTGCTGGTCATGACTCCAGTCTGTCAAAAATGAGTGATACTGCTGGTTTGGGGTAACAGTGAATACTCATAAGAATAAAATTAAAATAAATAATAGAAACTGACAAACAGGGTTTCTGAGAACTGTTGACATTGTGTACTGACTAATTCTTTGTCATAAGGGACTATCCTGTGTGTTATAGGATATTTCAAAGCTTCCTTAGCTTCTATCCATAGATGCCAGTAGCAGCCCCACAGCTATAACAGCCAAAAATGTCTCCAAACACTGCTAAATATCTTCTGAGAGCAAAATTTCTCCTGGTTGAGAAACACTGCCCTAAAAGATGATATACAAGTGACAGTAAGCTAGGATAAGCTTTTTAGTACAGCAAAATATTTCACATAGTGATCTGCAATAGTTATTATTTCATCAGCTTTTCTTTATTTAGTAAATAGGATTTACACATGGTGACTTTAAGTTGGGAACCGGATGGGGCTGATTTGTTTGGTGTGGCTTCATGCTCTTGGGTCATGTGCAAAAACATCCTTTCAGCTTGCTCCAGGTGCAGCTGAAGCCAGGAAAGTTAAGCTATTTATCTTGTGTTTCCATCTCTCTCACCTTAATTGGTGCCATTTTTGCAGCAGCCCTAGCAGTCCAAACAAGTAAGAAAGAAGGATAAAGGAAGACAGGCATTGTGGGCAAGCAGAGAACAAAGAATTTAGCCAAAAACAACAACGAAGAATCTAGTCGATCTGGATGCTTGTTATTGCCTTGATCTCTCCCTGAACATGGTCCAGAGCTGGTGTTGATGAAATAGATTACACCTCTGAGAAGAGTCAAGAAGGCATTGGAGCAAGTCCCAGAAGTATGCTCATCTTTTCATTACAATGTGCCCCCTTGGTCCTATTAGGTAATGTACCTATTTTTCCTCATCCTGATTGTTCGGTTTATATTTCACATTTGTATATAAGGCACCTTTTCTAAAAATATTACTAGAGTATGAGCTAAGATTTTATTCAGTGAAGATGAGTAACTGAAAACAACTAAACACTGCAGTGGGAAAAAAGAGAGAGTTCTCCAGGTACTAGTTCCATGTGTTTTGAATCTAGTCCTCTCCATATGGAGAAAGAAAGCTCCTAGAGTCCATTCTTATTTTACTAGAAAAAGAGAGAAAAGGGAGCTGCAGGCCAAGGGAGATGAAAATCAGGGGCTACTGTTATATGGATGATAAGTATAGTGAAAGGAAAAGAGCAAAGGGAGTGGATGGATGGGGCTAGGCCAGGGTTCAGGATGGCAGTCGGGAGAGGGCCACACCTCTCCGTGGGCTGCACACTCCCAGTTGCACTCTACTTTCCCAGTTGCTAGTTGCTGTCTTCAGAGAGGTATCGTACTGATCAACATCATCAAACACATTTTATAAGATACTTAATTGTATATGTTGCAGAAAAGCAGTGTACTCACTGGTCTACACAGACAAGTACATTTTATGGTGAGTAGGCAGTTGGAGCAAATGGGAAACCTTTTAGAGAGACTGGGTTAGACAGAAGATGATTTGGTTAGTAAAATAAGGCTATAGTGAGTAGCATGAATAGCAAGCATTATTTGATAGGAAAGACAGCTAGATGTGACTTTAGATTAAGAAGCAAATGGCGGGGGGAGGGGGGCAGTGAAAAGGAATAGGAGCCTAGATAGAGATATGTCTATGATCAGAGCCCTTGATGAGTATCAGCACCAAGATAGTCTGTCCAGAGTAGAAATCAGCCATACTTGGCAGTGAGGCAGAAAGGACCTTGTTGCTTTAATGGCATAGAGATCTGGAAAAGAAGTTTCTGTCTTAAAATAAAGGGAAAAGTGAAAAGTAAGGTGGAACTTGGAGATGTAACTGGAAAACCACTGTAAAATTCTGATCTATGTGTGATGTCAAATAAAATTGAAGTGAAGAATGAGATTGTGCATATCTATGATGACTTATCTCTGTATATTGGAGATCTCAAAGTCTCTATAAGCAGAAATAAAAGCTGCTTTTTACTCTGAAAGGTTAACTGGGTGAATCTTGTGAGGTCTAGAGGCAGATTTGTGATTCACTGGCATAGAAGTCATTGTGGAAATAAAGGAGTGTGTGTCTTGAAGAAAAGCCAAGGAACAAGCCTGAGGAACACAGTACCCTAGGCATGTGGGCAGCTCACAACTTTATGAAGCCCTGGGGCATCTATGGATCTCAGTCATTAATCCCAGCTCCTCGATCCTCCTGTCTTCTCCACTTGGAAGGCTGGACCCAACTTCAGATACTGGTTACAGCACAGACTTCTATGTTTTACCAACCACATTCCTAACACCAATCAAATCCCTGACTTTGATTTAGCTTTATTTTGATTTTTGCCTAGGATCTCCTGTCTCTGGCCTTATGAACCTCAATGGCCTGGGCTAGGATAAACCCACCATGCCCTGGCCTCTCACTCTCCTTCAACCTCATATTTTCCTTGGTGATTCACTTTTTGCCCATCACTGGCAGTCCAAATGTCTTCACCTTTTTTTCCTATCAGCCTTGGCCTTGGACCACACAGAAGGTTCATGTGCTTCTTCCATCTACCTTCTTATTTAGCCATCGATTTTAACCATCCAGCTACAAAGAAGCCTGGACTTTCTTAAGTAGAGGCCACTCTCTTTGACTAAATCTTCTTACCACCTCATCAGAGCCTGTGTTCCTTTAACTTTTTTTTTTTTCATTGCCAAATCTCTCTTTTCATCCCTTCCTAAACCCTAATTTGTGCTTCTCCCTCAAGAATTGTCATGTCGTAAAAGAGTATAGTCATTACTCCCGGGCAGAATATGGCTGGCCTCTCACAACTGCTGAAGCCAGTAGAAGTTGACACTACCTGGATACCTTACCACCATTCCTCAGGCTGATCTATTTTGAACTGGGTTTAAGTATAGCCTAAGGAAAAGGCCCAGCCCTTGAAATCTATAGCACAGGGGGATGGGCAGTGGTAGGAGAGAGTCTTCTGGATATGCCTGAAAGAGGGAAGAAGAATTAGAGCTATGAGCATCAGGGCTATTGAGGGATACACAAAAAGCACTATTTACCTCAGCTTAGTGGTGAAACGTAGTCCCACTTTATTTCCAATTTTAAGACTAAGCAGAGAAAAGATATCTCTGCAGAGAGTGAAAGCAGGCAAACAGCACAATCAGGTAAACCAGGCAATCTAGGGATACCTTCCCAGGTAAGCAAACCAGGAAGCTCAAAGCTCAGAAAAACAGAAGGCAGAGCTTGAAGTGTTAGAGGGAACATTCACGGGGAAGGAGGCAGGACCACAGGCTAGGTGCCCATGAGCTCATACAGGATAGAGAGGACACTGAAGGAGAGCTCTTTCCTCATGCTGCCTCTGACCCAAGCCCTAATGTAGAGAGAGAGGGAAGTCTGTCTAGAACCTCAGGCAACTCATGATATCCTATGACACTTGCAGCAGGATGGGGAGGGGGAGGAGGCAGAAACACTTTGGACATGGGAAGTCACAGTGCAGAATACAGTGAGAGCTTTTACTGAAGAAGGTTGACATAGTTTGCAGGGAAGAGTCCAAAGTGGCCATGGCAACGTCCCCGCCACCAGCCCTCATCCACCATCTCAATGTCAGTGATGATGTCATCTGGATCAAAGGAAATCTCATCACTTCCTTCTATAGAGGAAATTAATGGGATATTAGGATAGTCAGACAGGAATACCCCTATCCCTTTGCCCACTCTAAATTCGAGGAAGGGAAATAGGCCTAGTTTTCTTGATGCCAAGTCTGGACCCTTCCCAGGCCCCAGAACCCATCCCCCTCTCTTGTATCAAGGACCTTCAGGCACCAAGCCCCTCAAACCACTCTCAACGTACCTCCTTGGTAATCGTACAAGGCTACAGCTGAGATCCCAGTCCCAGCTCCAGCTGGGCAGCCTGATGATCCTGCATTATAAGAAATACAAACATGAGGTCTCACCAACATGGAAAAGGAAAATGAGCAGGTTCTTTTGGGCCCTTCCTCTTACCCCCACCCCCCAGATCTGACCAAATTCAGGAGCCACTTCTCCCCTCACCGCTCACCAGCCAGAGTAGAAGGAAAAGAGGGCTCCTCAGGCTCGAGCACATCCTCATAGTCTCCCTCTGGTTCATTATCTTGCTCATATCTGTCCATGTGCCCAACATCCTCATAGTCATTCTCTGGCTCAGGCTCAGGTTTAGGCTCAGGTTCAGGCGCTGCCTCATACACTGGCTCTTCTTCCAGCTGGAGGCCTTCCAGAGTCCTAGGGGGCAGAGCTGGAGGCTCTTCATCATCCTGAGAAAAGATAGTGTGGAGCAGGGTGACTTGCACTCACCAGGAGCTGCCTCTCCAAAACTTCCCAATGGGAGACTGCTAAGACCCCATCCATAACCATCCTACCTCTTCTACCCTCCACCCTGCTTCCATCTAACAGCCTCTCCTAGGGAACACAGTCTTTCATCCATATTCATTCCCGAACTTTCTCCCATACCTACCAAGAGATGGTAAGAGGGGAATGTAAAAGGTATGGAGGAAAAGGAAGTAAAAAGCTAGTTGGATTCCTTGGAAGACCAAGAAAACAAAAGCACATTGTTGGGAATACCATAATTAGGATGACCAACCCTCTTATAGTCTGCCCAGGACTAGGTGGTTTCCCAGAATGCAGGACTTTCAGTGCTAAGACCAGGACAGTTCCAGACAAACCAAGAAGGTTTGTTGCACTCTATGGCCCATCTTCCTAGGACATGAAGGGATTGGGAAAGAACAGAGAATCTTAGGAGCTCTGCTTACCTCTTGGGGATTCTGCCTCGAGGGCAAGGAGGGTACTGGGTGTTCCCTGCTGGTTCTCAAAGGCTCAGGGTCTGATGATGGACAATTCCCTGCTGGAGGCCAGGCCTGTGGAGAATGAAACGTCTGTCCAGTAAGCAAGCAAGCCTCCATCTTCTTTCTTATAGAGACTTGGTACACTCCCTCCTACCTTTGCCAAACTAAATCAAACTCATCCCTCAAGATAGGCTCCAACCTGAAATGATGGCTCCTTCTTAGTTCCTGCAGCAATGACTGGCCGTACTGGCTGGTGACTTGTCTTCCATTACACTGTGTGAATCTTGGTTTCATTTATTCCCCCCAATATTCTGGTATATAGGAGACCCAATTACACACTCCAACTGAAATCTTCCTGAAGATAGCGACAGCACTTATATAGACTTTGCTTAACACAGGGAAGCCTGTGCCTTATTTTCTACCAATGATTGGGACCCTTTAGGTTCCTGTCTGGGCAAGGAATTCTGGTTGTAGCTCCCAGAGCACCAAGTACTCACCGCTGAGGAGATTTTCTTAGGCAATGGGGCTGACACCACTGGCTCTTCTACAGTGGCTGCTGGTTGCTGAGCCTCATAGTTCATCTTTACCAGGGTCTTTCTCTCCTGTTGCTGCCTAGCCATCTGCTTTGCCTTCTCTTCTTCCTCCTGCTTCTTCTTTTCCTCAGCCATGGACTCAAATTTTTCCTTCAGCCCACGGGCACCACTAGAAGCTATAGACACAGGCAAGAGGAATTAGGATTCTCTGGGGAGGGGAGAGGGGCTGGAGTGTGGCACTTAAAGGAAGAAGAGAAATTAGTTAAATATCCAAGAGAAGAGCAGTTGGAGATGGGACCCATGGAAGGGAAGATAAAGAGGTATTGATGGAGGAACAAGAGGTTTATAGGAGGGTGGTATAGCCTTCAATCTAGATTTCCATATAACCAGACCACGTGATCTCAGACTCTTGTCCTTTCAAAATCATAAGTTTTTGTTCTCTAACCCACATTTTTCCCTGTCCACATTCCTTAAATGTGTATGCCCTCGGACCGCCACCCAGTCTCTACCTCCCATCCTAAGCATGTATCCCTATGAATTCTTCCCAAATGGTTCCATATCTCTCCCTCCCTGGGTCCCCTGCTCACAGTTCCTTCCCCAATGTCATTCTGTCTCTCTACCCACTTAACCTAATTTTTCTAGGAGAAAATCTAGGATCATGAGGGTAAGGGTCAAGTCTACCTCAGCTAATCTAGGTAGCTAAAGGCATGAAGGAGGTAGTCTGGGGAGAAGGAAGAATGAGAAGGAAGAGGCAGTTGTGGAGCATAGGGATAGGGAATTGTTAATACTCACTAGCCTCTATGGGTGTTGTCTTCTTATAAGCTGTGGTTGGGGCTTCCATTTCATTGAAGCCAACAGCACTCTGCAGGAGAACAGTAGGTGTATGTGTGTGGGGGATGGGGGAGTAAGGGAGTGGTAGTGACTCAGAAAGCAGTATTGGGGATTGGGGCCACTGTAGGAGGTATCCCAACTGTTCAACAGTTTGACAGGGTATTCCAATGTTGTTTTGTGACAGAAAGAGGGGTAAAGAAGTTCTAAACTGATGGACTCAGCTTCCCTTTTCGAAAGTGCAGTGTACCTAGACTCTCACATCTCCACATCCAGTTGCCTGGAATGCATCGGGGCCTCTGGGCAATGCATGAAGAGGAATTGGTATAGAGGAAGGTGGTGATATGGAGTGGGAAGAGACTAAAGATTGGAATAAACAGGGCCAAGCAGTCAAGGAAATCTTAAATACTGCCTTTCCCTAGAGTTTTTGTGTCCTTCTCTCTGCCTCCCTTAAGTTTCCTCAGTTAAAGCTCAGGCTTTGGAAGACATGCCCATTAGATGCTGAGGGCAGTCGATGGGGAGTGCAGAACAGACAGCTTAGTGCATCTAGAGTTCCCTATTCTTTTTTTCAAATTTACCTCTCACTCTCCATGCACTTCCAGTACAGTTTAGAAAACTATTCCCAAGACATTAGTATTCTGATACTTTACCTTATCCACTCGGTCCTTCTGGATTCCATACTGACCACCAAAGCCCTTGGCATAATCTGCAGGATGTAAAGTTCTGGGAGTCATAACAGGAGTTAAAATGCTGGAAATTGGCAGGAAGAGGGAGCAGTGGAAAGAAAAACCAGAAGACCGGAATGTGGAAAACAGAGAGATGGATGAGGAAATCAGAAGATAGAGAGAGGCATGGGTAGAAAGAGAGGAGAAAAGATGGCAGAGGGAAACTTGGAAGAGAATAAAGGAAATAAAGATGGGAAGAGGGAAACATAAAAAGAGAGAAGTGACAGAAAAGGAGAATATGTGAAGGAAGAAACAGGAAAAAATAAGGAGAGCCATCCAGCCATCCGTATATGTCCCAGAGAGAAAGAAGACCTCTCTGTCCTCTGTGAGGCAGAGGGGACTTTAAGACTCATAGCCAAATCACACTCTTGCCATCACTAGACTGTCTGTCTTCATCCCTGTCTCAATGACCCCTTCTCTTTTGCCTCTCTTTTCTGTCTTACTCTTAATCTTGTTTTCCCCTCCACCCCTCTTGTTCTCCCCCATCCACTCCCACACACATACACTTACTCTTTACCCTACAACCTCCACTGCACATCTGCCCTTCTGTATTCTGTGTCAGCTTCCAGAAAGGAAGGAAGGAGGGCTCTATGCTACTCTGTAACTTCCTTCCTCTCCAACCCCAACTCACCTCTCTGGGACTCGTGTTTCTCTGTCTCTCCTTTGTAGTCATATCCCAGAGCTGCCTTGTCCCGTTTATCCTTCTCTATCCCATAACGACCGCCAAAGCCACGGGAATAATCTATGGTGGAAGGAGCAGTAATGAGAATCCAAAAAAAGCATATCCATATGAAATGTATGCCTTTCCCTGCTCCCATCTAAATAATTAGATATGTCAGCTAAAATATAACTTTTTTAAAAAAATAGTGCTCAAAAGAAAAGAAGAAAAAAAATTCCTGGCTCTAAAAACGAATAAATGAATCAAAACAGTAATTATGAGCTGATATGACAGAAAATCCAAGGGTGTTTTAAGTCTTGATTTTTGTTTCTAGGCTTAGGATCTAGCGTCCGGAGTTCTAATTTCTATATAAAAACAGGTGGCTGGGGAGCAGGAAATGAGTCTTATAAAAGAGTTCTAGAAAATTTCTGCTTACTTGTCCAGGGAAATGGTGAGGGATCTTATAGTTTGTTTAGCATTTGGTAGAGGAGAAATTTACCTATGAGACTTGGAAACTCCAGGCCTACACCCGAGGGTGTGGAATACAAATATCCAATTTCATACTACTTATATTATATAGGAATTCTAAGATGAGAAATTAATTTAAATATCAATCTAGGAAAATATATACCACAAAAAAGAGTAAGCATCAGAAAGATGGCATGAATATGAGACAAAGTAGACCTCAGGACAAAATGCATTACAAGAGATACAAGAGATATTACACCATGATAAGAGAACAATTTATCATTCATCAGGAATATGTATGCCAGCATAAACCTATTAAAAGAATTAAAATTCATGAAGCAAAAAGTGAAAGAAGCAGAAAGACAAATTCATAATCATAGTTTAAAATTCTAACATCTTTTTCTTATTATTTGGTAGAAAATATAGACAAAAGAATCTAAAATGATAGAAGACTCAAACATTATCAACTAATAAAATCCAATTGATATTTATAGAACACTATACCCCAAAACTGCAGAATACATATTTTCTTTTTCATGCACATGAAACATTCACCAAGGTAAAATATATGCTGGTCTATACAGTAAGTTTTACTTTCAAAAGGCTGAAATATTAGATATAATATTCTCAGATCACAATAGAATTAAATTAGAAGTTAACAATAAAATAAATAGAAAATTCCTCCCAATACTTGAAAAGTAAATAATACATTTCTAAATAACCCATGGGGCAAAGAAGAAATCATAAAGAAAATGTGAAAATATTTTAAACCGAATAAAAATTAAAATACACATGACATTGTGGGATGTAGCAAAACAGTGTTTAAAGGGGAATATGTAGTTTTAAGTGCCCAGGAAATAAAGGTTTAAAATCAATTATCTAAGTTTCTACCACAAGAAGCTAGAAAAAGAACAAATACAATTTATATTAAAATGAAGGAAAAATAACAAAGAGAAGAAACAAGTAAACTATAGAGAAAATGAGTAAAGTCAAAAGCCAGTTCTTTGGAAATAATAAAATTGACAAACTTCTAGAAAGAATGATTGTTTAGAAAGAGAAAAAAGCACAGATTAAAAACAGCAGAAATAAAAATGAGTATACCTTACAGAGGTTAAAAAATATTAAGGAATATTATAAATGAATTTATGCCAACAAATTTGACGACATAGATAAGATGGAAAAAAATCCCTGAAAATACAACATATCATACTGACTCAAAAACACTGAAAGATTAAATAGACTTCTCTATTTAAGAATTGAATTCGTAAGAGAAAAAGAAAAAAGCTTTATTACAATTAAGACTGCTAAACCTCAAAAGAAGGAAAGGCAAAATTTCTCTCTCTAGGAAACTTACTCAGCTCAGGGCACATGAAACTCCCATAATACAAATATCCCTCTCTACCACTAAAATAAATTCACAAACAAAAATTAAAACTACCAAAGAAATAACCATGAAGAAAGCAAATTAATCAAACAGAATTGGCACCCCCAAGAACTGAAAATAGTATAACGACATGAAAGTAAAAGACAATATTTTTAAAACCATTGAAGAACTTAAAGGAGGTGAAAAACACAACGAAAACAACAAGACATGATGGTAAAAGAATAAGCGAATTTGCAGTAGTACCATAGGGAGCTTCCAGAAATAAAAATATCTGAAAGTTTTTTATTTTAATATACAGCTTAAACAATAATTAAATACAGCTGAAAGGAAAATTAGCGAATTTAACATAGATCCAAAGGAGTTATTCAGATAAAGAGATGAGATTAGAGAAGCTAAATTAAGAGACATCAAGAACAAAACTTATCAAAATTTTGGTATGCAGTAAAAGCAGTGCTTAGGGAAATTTATAACACTGAATACATATATCAGAAAAGAAAAAAAATAAAGAGTAAGAATCAATAATCTAAGTTTCTGCCTTAGGAAACTAGAAAAAAAAAAAAGAGCAAATTAAATCCAAAGTAAGTAGAAGAAAAGAAATAAGAATTAGAGCAGAAAACAATAAAATTGGAAATGGCAAATCAATAGAGAAAATAAATGAAACTAAAAGCTGGTTCTTTGAAAAGTCAATAAAATCAATAAGCCTCTAGCCAAGATAAAAAAAAAACTAAAAGAGAGAACACAAATTAATAATATCATAAACGGGATCTGGAAAAAAAAATGGCATAGATGATAGAAGCTTTGTTCCCTCCTGCAGCCAAATCAATGTTATGACAGAAACTCAAAGCAAACAACAAGGAAAGTCACCTGGGATCTAGATGAACAAAAGCACTACAACTAGGGAGAGAAATAATTAATCAACTTGAAATGTTAGAAGGTAGGAGGGGGCGAACACGGGAGGCTGCCTGGTCTGGCAGCCAGCTGCTGCAAGCACCTCTTAAAGGGGCCTTGTCTGCAAGTGGACTTTCACGGTGATGGACCTGCTTGGTCTGAGCACCAGCATCAGGTAGGCTGCTGGGGGTGGCACCAGGGACTTAAAGGGGCACACTGAGTTGTCAGAGGGAGGGATGGAGGCAAGACTTTCTCCCAGGCAGAAGTGCTAGTGGTACCTATTGTTCCTCTGTTGAGCCCTCCCGCTCCCAGTGTGCCGATTTAACATCGCCATAGCTGAGACGTCATCAAACTGGATAACAGAGGTTGCTTTGCTCAGAAGATTCCCTGAAACTCCACTTCCCCCAACTCACGGCCCCACCCATGCCACACCTAGGTATATCCTCAGCGAATCAGGTATTCCTTGCTGAGCAGCGCCTAGACTCACACTGGAGGCAGCTAGCCTCGGTTTCGGTTGTGGTTTCTTGAGGCAAATATAAGCACAGCATCTGTAGGTTGCTTGCTGAATCTTAACAGGTGG